GGGCCGCTGCCGCCCCTGCGGGCCGCGCCGCCATTAGCCCCGTCCGGGCCCGCGCCGCCTTCGCGGGGGACAGCGACGTGCTGTGGAAGCGCTGCGAAGCGCTGGTGAACCGCATGTGCCGGCTGGAGAGTGTCGTCCAGACCCTGAAGCTCAATGTCTTCCGACTGCAGACGGAAAAGGAGCTGAACCCGCAGCATGCAGGTGCGGGGGGACAAGAACGGAGCCAGGCCCACCCTGCTGCCTGCTGGCAGCCTTCCCACTTCACAGCCCTGCCTTTCCTGCTTTTCTCTCTCTCAGCCCACCTGGAGCAGCGCTTGAGTGCGGTGCAGGAGGAGCACCTGCAGGAACTGAAGGCCATACAGCTCGAGTTACTAACATCGCACCAGCGGCTCAGTGAGGCACAGGAGGCTGAAGAAAAGGCCAAGGAAGACATTCAGAGACTGAGCTCCGCGCTTGAGATGGCAACAGCAACCAAGGTACAGAACGATGGTTGCAAATGCAAATCCTGTGCTCGGAGACGCAGCTAGTCTCCAAGGATTATGTCTCCAATCGATGCCAATACTAGTAGCTGGTCTTTTAAAGACAAAAACAACAAAAAAGGTGCTTATTCTATGCTTTGACAGATTCCAAATTGCTATGCTTTGACAGATTCCAAATTGCACATGCTTAACTAGAAATGGCTTTGGCAGGTTCTGGTCTTTTGTCCAAGACAGCTAGAGATTCTTGGATGAGGAGAAGTGATCATGGAGTATTGATTGTCAGTCTGTAGTCTGCAGACCCCTAGGGATCCATGAAAGGTGACTGATCAAAAGTATGTGAATACGCACACTTACCATTCAAAGGAGTCTGTACCCCATTTAACATTTCCAATGGGGTCCATTCAAAATTTTTAGGGGTCTGCAAGTGGAAAACATAAGGTTGAAAGCCACTGTCCTGGAGGTAATCAAACCTGGATAGGAAAATGTATTTTTTACCCCTCAGAAAGCTCAGGGTCCTCCTCATTGGGGTCTTAGGTGCTCCTCTCATTTTGCTAGTAATTTAATCTTTTCCTATATTTTCTAGATTGTACAGCTTCACCACCATCCTCTTAAGCGAAGGGGGAATAAGATGCACCATGTTCATCCTAGCATCTTGATGGTCTCAAAGAATTAGTCATGAACAGTGCAGAAGGCACTCATCATTTTAGCACTCTTGACCCAGACTGTAATTGGCAATCCAGTCTTGGTGTGGCATATGATGTAAGACAATAATAAAAGATTTTTGCGCAGTCAGGTTTGGCATACTGATGTCTGACTGCAGATATGGAATAGAAATTGTTTCTCTGGTCTTTTCAGACAGATGCAGCAATTGCAGTAGAACAACTGAGGACAACAAAACAGAAAATGAATTTTAGACTTCAGGAGGTAAGGGCAAGAAAAGGCTGGAAAGAGTGCAGTTGTTGAGCATTGCTGGGAAAAAATTTGAATGGTGATCTGCGTAAGAGTACCTCCAAATGTGGAATAGAATGTAAACATCTGAAACGAAAACTTGTGAATGTTCTTAGAACTGCATCTGTAACATCCTTCATGTGTAACAGAAGAGTCCAACTGCTGAACAAGAGCTGTGTTCCATGCTATGAAAGCAAAGGTATATAATAGCTTTCAGTCCTCTTATGGTTATAGAGAAGACATTTTTGCATTCAGGATATGGAACTAATGACTTGTTTGCTAGCTAATGAGGTAGTAGTAGAAGGAGATGTCTTGTTATGAACCCAGTAAAGAAGAATTGTTGAAACATGAAGCCTTAAATGAAATGAAATATAGCTTGCCTCCCAGAAGCTCACAGCTGCTAGAAAACAGAAGATGCATCTTAGTTGTTTAATAACCCTTCTAGCCAAATAAGCAGCCATGAAATGCTAAGAAGTATCCTGGTAAGGCTTTTGCCAGAAGGATGCTGGAATCAATAGGTAGAGTGACTATATGTCTTGGTTTGGCCAGGATACTCCCAGATTCTTTAGGCTTGTCCTGAACAGTTGATCAAAAATTCCCATGATGGAGTCTGGCAGGGAGGCAGAGTAGTATGGTGTGCACGAACAGGTTGGGCAGACTGGAGCAGTTGCCACCCTGCCCATGAGTGGCACATCCTTGCTCCTCCACAGGAGCAGCTTGCCTAGTGCACCATACCGCTCTGACTCTCCGCCAGACTCTGGCGTAGGACTTTTGACCAACCACCAGCCAGGACCAGCCCATGGAATCTGGGAATGTCCCAGCCAAATCAGGGCATAGGGTGCTCCTAGTAATAGGCAAACGTCAGTGGTTGTCATCTTCAGGGCACAGAAAGGATGTGTGGTAGGCAGGGGAAGCCCTTCACTATACCAAACAAGTTCCTTCCTTTCTTTAGAAAATTGAGTTCCTAACAGATGCCAGAAGGTCAAGCTGTTCCCCACACTCATAGCTGTCAAACCTACTGCTGTTAGTAGTTGTAGGTTAAGTGAAGGACATGGTCCACACACAGTTATAGTTAAAAATTAGCTTTTTGGAGTGAATTTTAGGGAAATACATCACTACCTTAAAGTTGAAAACTTACAAGTTAGTTAGTTTAATCTCTACTTAGACTACTTGTACCCCCAAGACCAGGTAACAGAGCAGAACTGTTTCAGTCATCAGTCTTTTGCTGTGCCTCCTTTTGGGGGGGAGGTCCCAGTTTGTTCTATAGTTGTATCTGTGTCCTGTATTACTCTCCACTACCCTTTTTCATGAAGATACAGTGAACATATGTGAACTTTGTGACCAAGTCAGGATCCTGTGTATTATGCAACTTATTGAGCACTGTTCTAACAGCATGCATAGTGTGTGTTGTTCCTATAGTAATTTAGTGGCTCCCTGTACAGAAGTGGTCACTCCCCAGAATAATATTCTTCATCTTTTATCCTTAAGAGCAACATATACATTCTATAAAAACAGGCCCTGTATAAACAGCAGCTGTATTATTCAAGCCTGAAGTTTAGCCACATCTCAAGAGACACTTGGTTGATTGGCAGAACTGAAGCATTTCTTCACTCTGTTGTCTTTATACAAACATTTAATTTGTGGAAGTGTAGGTCTTTTGCACTCCTTAATCAGAAAAATAGGTAGATCTACTATGTTCATAGGTCATGTCCCCTGCCAATGAGAGGGGAAAAAAAACACAAACAAACAAAATCACTTACTTGGCTAATAAGTTGTTTTTCTGGGGGGGGTTTCTTAAAGAAAGAGAGAGGATCTTTACTATAATAACTCCTTAATGTAGAATGGGGGTGCAGTTTGTTATGAGTTATATACCACCCTGGTTATGAATAATACATTTAGATTCTTGTGTTTTACTTACTGGAGGATGACATCTGAAAAACGTAGAATTTTCTTCAAAAAAAGTCAAAGTTATATTCAGCCTCCACCACTTCCTTCTTTGTTTCCAATTCCCGTTTAGTTTACAGAAGCAGAAGTATCTGCTCCCAACTGCACTAGACCAGGGATGATCAACCTGCAGTAGGAGTGCCACAAAGTGGCATAGGCATCTTGAGTGTGGCATACAACAGATCAGGGAAGGGATTTGCAGCAAATAAGGTAGGAGGCAGAAGGCAGAGGAAAAGATCAGGTAGGTAGTACAGAGTAAGGAACAGAAAGCAGAGCAGGAAGTTCTGGGTAGAGGAAGGGGAGCAGAGTGTATTCAGGGAGGGTGCAGAGCTAACTAATGGCACATCTGCCAGAAAGGTTGGCTCCCACTGCACTAGATGAAGTGTAAAGCATTCAGTATTTTGACATCCCCGAGTAATATGTAGCTGAGCCTCAGTCTGAATACACGAAACAGTTTGTTTCCTGTAGGGGAGTTAGTGCAAAGAGAGCATCTTTATTCTTAAACGTGTGAAGCAAGCTCTCATAGGCCCCGTAACAGGGTTCTACCCCAGGGGTAGCCATAAAGCCCCTAGAGTACCTTCTCAGCTCTTGTCCTCTCTGCTTCTTTTGAGCAATCTCCTCTTTAGCTCACCTGCCATGCCTTGATGCTGTTAGGTCTTTAGAAGAGAAAGCTGCCCCAGCACTTTCTAAGCAAGATCTCACTCATGAGTGCTTGCATCTCTGCTTATAGCCTTAATGGCTAATCACAGCCTCTGAGCTTCCCTTACAGCTGTGCCCCACAGGTGTTTCCAGTCATGGCTTAGGTGGGCACTTTGCCCCAAACCCCAGGCCATCTCAGGCCTCTACTGCCTCAGCCTTTCTGGTCTCTGCCTCTCCATTCTGGCAAGTCCCTTTAGCCTAGCCCCATGTCTGCCTCATCTCGATTCTGGGCCCTCCTAGCCCCATGTCTGCCTCTCTCTCAAGTCTGAGCCCGTACTAGCTCTAACTCCATGCATCTCTGGCTCTACTGGGACCTCTTCTTGCCTCTACTAGTTCCAAACTCAAGCCACTGTTCAAACTCAAACAAAACACATAGGATTGTTGGTTGTAGCAGTGTTGGTTTAAGGCCATAGGCAGATGAGATGCTGGTTAATCCAGTAGATTCTCCCTAGGCCTGAAGAAGGGTGTTTATACCTCAAAGCTTGTAGAAAACAATTTTTTCCAACTGTTTATTTGGTCTAATAAAAGATCATCACATTTACCCAAAGAACCTTATGTAACAAAACACATAAGTACTCAGGCTCTAACAGCAGTCCAAGCCAACTGGCCATCTGCCAAGCTTCCCCCTGTCTTGAGTCCTATCTCAAGTATAGTAAGCATTTGGTATCTTACTGGCATTGTCAGGCATCCCAGAAGTCAGCAGAGCCTCTCACAGGAGCTCTTCACTGTGTAGCTGGCTGGGCCAAGCAGCCTGCCTGCTCTCAGGTACAGGCATTAAGAGTCTCTTAAGCCAATCCCCATCCAGTCATGTGACCCTGTAGGCACTCTCAGGAGTTTCCCCACTACCCGATGACCTGCCTGCTTTCCCTGCTAGAAGTCATCTGTATACAGGCCCTTGTTTCCCAGCTGATTGCCCTTGCTGCCTCTTACTGCTCTGCCTCCCTCCCCAACGTGAGTTACCTTCCCGTAATTAACCTCTCATGGTGTCATGCACCCTGGTTTGTCTGCTGGCAGCCGTTTCATTAGCAGCTTGCTTGCTTCCTAGCCGAGTCCTCCCAGATTCAGCTCAGCCTGGTACTCTTTCCTTTTAAAGGAAAAGGAGCCTTTTGGCTTCCTGTTACAAGCCCTCAGTTACTCAAAGACAACTGTTTCTGCTGAGTCAGGCTCTAAAAGAATTTACCTGTTCTATCTGAGCTTTCTGGAGCAATGAGAGGAACTTTCTTAGTATCCTTGTAGTCCCAAGCATGGAAACACATGTTGTGTAGGATATACATGACTCATTTTGGACACTTATAAGTGAAAAGTTTGATTAAAAAAAAAGCTTCTGTGGTAGATGATTCCACTAAGTTCTCTGTATATACTGACTGAGCTAATACAATTGATCGTATTATGGGAGATTCATTAAAAACAGGTCTTTGGGAAGAGGGGTTTTGGGTTAGCTCTTTTTGAAAAGGACGCTTTCCTTTTAGCAAGGAAGAGCCCAATAGTATAAAGCAGTACACTGCCTTGCAAAGACTCCAGACCCAAAGTTTGAGCATGTTGTAGCTTCAGTGAGCATAAAATGAAAGGAAAGTTTGCTTTCTGCAGTGATCCTTCCCAGCAGATTCTGAAATAAATTTTGAGTAAGTCCAGGAAGAGGCCCTTCTAGCCCTTGGAGGGAAATAAATATTGACATGAATATGACATTTGAAGTAGAAGATATCGTTGGATTGTTCAGTATTTCTCTGTAGAGCACCACTTCCATTAAATGCTCTGCAGCATCTTTACCAGTTCTGATATTACTAAAAATATGCCTGCTTGCTGTATTGGAACTCCATCTGCTTCAGTAATATTAGTTTTGCTTTGCTTGAGACTGTGTTCAGTGACACAGCCTATG